GGTAAGGATTAACTGGACTCATCCGGTACGCCGATGAGGTATAAGTGGACTTGCAGGGATTAAGTGGACCTATCTAGGACGCCGATAGGGATTAAGTGGACCCATCAAGACGCTAATGGGGTATATAGGTGACCTACTTGGGACGCCAGTAGGGTATTTTATAAAATCCTTTGAATTATGCTCTGCCGTTAAATTGTTCTACGCATTTTAATTATTCGAATTATACTTAATTATGCATTTTTTAAAGTGACACTGTTGATGCATTTCTGTTAATAGATCTCCTTTTTGAAAATATTTATATCTTTCAAACATTATTATTTTTAGGATTGTGATTATCACTTACTGAGTAGCCAAACTCATCAAACTATGGTAAACATTTTTTCAGGATAACTACGGTTTCATTTTGAGTGCTTGTCAGGATTAACTTTGGAAGATATTGTAGTTGTGCTTAAATTTTCTTTTGTTACTTTGTAAGAATTCGCCATTGTAAATTTGTCCTGTCAAGAGATGTATATATGTTTAGACCTTTATGTTAATATTAGTTATGAACAGAGTTTATATAGATTTGAGGAAAAAAAAAATAAAAATAAAAATAAAAGGGGGTTTTTGATTTTGATTCAATGCATGACAGATATCTAAAATTGCTTTGTTTTGACTGTCACATCTCAGGAATATCAGTATTTTAAATTCTTGCGGTTTACATAAGTCATTTCTTTTAAATTTTGGCAGAAATATTATTTGCTTCTGCCTCAGGAATTTTACTCTGTTCTATTTCTTCAAATTCATCCAGAAGTGGAGACACAGGTTCTTCATTTCTTAAAATAGAGTTTTGATTATTTGATGTTTCTTTTATGTGATCCATTCTAATTTTGAGTAATTTTATTTCTTGCTTAACATTATTTATTTCAAATTTGAGTTATTGAATAGAAGATTCTTTTGCTGTTATTGGAGACATCTCCTTTTGTTTCATTCTATTTATGATATTTTTAAGGTCATATGTGGATTTTTCATATTGTCTGTCTTGTCTATTTTAGCTTAAATTTGACTTATCATTAGCCATATATACGATTAAAGCTTCTCTTTTAGCCTGTGGATTTTCTATCTTATGATATCTAAAATATGATTTTTTTTAAAGGTCAAAACGTTTATGTCCAATCCATTTATTAATAAAACAGATTTGTAATAATCTCAATTGCAATCAGAATTATTGCTTCCCTCACTTTCTAAAGTTGACTCAGAATCTGATTCATCCATCAAATTAATTAGTTCTTCTGAATCTAGTCTTCTTCATCAGATGTAAGTAAAACCTTGTATAATTGTCTTTTAAGACCTTCATCCATGTTTAAATTATTGAAATTTTTTTTTTGTTATGCATTTATTTGCATAATGGTCGAATTTGCCACATTTTCTGTAGATAACTAATTTTCTTTTATGTTTAGCAACTCTTTCTCTATCTTCTTCACTTGTGTTCGACTTATTTCTTTTAAGGAATTTTCTCTTGAATTTTTTGGATTTCTTCTTATAAGTTTTATAAGGTTCTTTCTTTCTTGAATTAGAGAGATGTGGTTTAGATTTAATAGATTCAAAACCAAATTGTTCACAAAAGTCACCTAACTCTTTTCTTTTAGTTAGGTTTTGTTTTTCTAGTGGTTCCTAAGTTTTAGGTCATTGCATATTTCTAAACCTATCGCACAAACTTCTGTAGACAGTTCTCCTAAGGTATAGATATCATAATTTAATTCCCCATTATGTTTAGCTTTTAGCTTGTTTTTTACCTTTTCTTCAAATAATCTTGGTAAACCAACAATAAACTAGGCTTTCCAATAGCTTGCCCTTCAATCTTCTACAATTAAAAGCCTTGAATTGAAAGTATCCTTGTACCACTTAAAGTGAGAGAGAGTATGGCATCTAAGATTTTGGTGGAGATCTGACTGTGTCTGAGTCAAGATAGAAGTATTGCCTATAAAATGTAGAGAAATGGTGTAAATCAGGGTATTTACAGCCTCATCTTCTGTAACTTGAATATCTTGAACTTGATCAGGTTGTATAATCTGTCTCCTATTGTTTTTTAGCATTTAGGATGTAGTTTTTCTCTTGTTCCGTGAGATAATTGTCCCACCAACCACGTAATTGATCAGTAAAGCCAGTGATCATGTCCTTTGCTATTTCAGTGTCATGGTTCCCAATGTATAAACTTGTTGTGGTATACATCATCATGTGTCTAAGTAGAGTGAGTATTTGATATGCACTTAATGTATTTAGGTTCCATTCTATTATGACTTTACCATCATACATAGCTGAGCCCATCATGATGTCTTCTTCATGTTGTAAATCAACAGGAGAAGGTCTGGGATAATGCATTTTAGTGGGGGTTGTTGGTATTTTTTAAGACCATACCCTACTTTGTTAATTTCAGCAAGTTGATTATTTAATGATTGCTTAAACATTTGTTCCCATTCTTCTATGTTATTTTCTGTGCAATCTTTAGTTATATCTTCAATCATATTATTTGAAGATTCATGAATTTTTTGTTTTTCGTTGTCATTAATCTTTGGATTTCCTAAACGAATAGCTATTTCATCTAGAAACTCAGAGCTTGCCAACTGGAGTTTAAATTTATCTCTAAGAAGCTCTGGAAAGGGCTTGAATAATAAATGTGTAGTAGTTTTACTTGATGAAGGCATAGTTTTGGCAGTTTCTGTTTTAGAAACTAATGTGTCAGTTTTAGACACTAGACTCTCACTCCTATCAGTCTGTCTTCCTAAGGACTGAAGATAATTGTTTTGTTCTATAATTGTTTTAAACCCTTCCATATTAGGAGTGTCAACTACATTTTTGTAAGGAGCTGCTTTAGCTCCCATGATTTCGACTACATCCTCACATGGATGTGTAGCTTCTACTTTACCTTTAGTAGTTTTATAGGTGTTATATTGTGCAGACATTGCATTAATGTCATAATTTATTCTGGTATATCTTTTGTCTCTATATTCAAATGGGAATTTTAATTTATTCTTTTTAACAAATATTTCCCCAAACCATCTAAAAAAGAACATATTTCCTCCAGCCTCTTGCGTATCTTCAACATATTTTTCTTTAAACTATTGTCTGGATGCCGGGGTTCCTTTGTTTAGGAACCATTCTCTTATCTCCTTATTATGGTCACTATTAAAATATTTTTTGAAATTTTCATAATTAATTTGAAATTTTTTTATTTCAATAACATTCATTTGATATGGATTATATTCCACATCTGAGAATGAAAGCTCATGAGATATGAGCTTAGAATTTTGGGTTTTAGGTGTTTCTACATTGTAAACTGGTTGTTGAATATTATCACCTATTCTTCTTAGGCCTTTGAGAATAGCATCTAAATGTTGATTTTCCAAATCCATAGTAGGAATAGAAGAAGTAGAGTTTTTAGCTGGTATTATGGGATTTTGTGAGGCAAAATTAATCCTAGTGCTTATTTGAGGATTAAACTGTATTTCACTTCTCCATTAGGAAATTCTATAATGGAATTAACATTGGAATTTTGGGTAGGCCTGACAGGAACTTCATTATGTAAGTTCCATTGAGCAGGTACCCTGACCTGGTCCTATGTTATCGTTTTTGGGACAATTAAGTTGGATTTTTCAATATTTGTTTGAAAAGAAAGTGTCTGTCCTTTTTTATCCATCTTTTTAACATCTGGACATATCGTGTTCATAACCTTATAACACAGCCTATAAATGATAGCTATGTTTCGAGAACCAAATTCCATATCGAATCCTTGAGTTTTAAGATTCAGTGTTAAAACTTTTAACAAGGTGGGATCAATTAACGAAACTGAAAAATTTGGATAGCAGTTGAAATATATAGGGCCTTCACAAAGGCTTGACTCCACAATTCCCAATAAGGAGTCTGAGAAATTTATATGGCTAGAGTCAAGCATATCAGGACTGAATTGTTGAGTCATCTTCTAGTTAACGGTTTAACCGCTACTTGCACTAATCCTATATACAAATAATTGTAACCCTTCCTTTTGTGTTCTTCTATTCTTTCTTTAGATAGAAGCTGGAAGCTATCCTGTGTTCCAAGGATAGAAATTGTTCTTTCTACGGTTTTTATAGCGTAATCCTGTGAAACCTAAATTGCACCATGTTGTGTGCAAGTTGGTCCCTCTGAAGTAGTACATGTGCATTTGACAATAAAAAAGGCATCAAACTTCACATACTCATATTTTTCGGTACGTAGATAACACATGCACGTTCCTGTGTTTGCAAATTCTCTTATATACTTAAATTTAGATACTATTTCCACTACTTCTAGTTAAATGCTTCATGTACAAACATGTAGATGTATATTATCATTTTCCTACATATGCTCACATGCATCTTATGTAATTACATCACCAGATGGTACTGCTACTACCCTACTGATTTTTTTTCCTTTTTGGGTAATTACTACCCTACTTTTAGTTCCTTTTTTGTTCTTCTTCTTCTTCTTCGTTTTGGTGAACACTGATAATGGTTAGCACCAATTTTTTGTGTGGAATGTTTTCCTGGCTGGAACTGAGAATCATCTGGCCAATTTCCAATAGTCTCTTGCTGAAAAAGTGCTACATATGTATACAAATGCAAACACATGCTGACATAAACATATACCGGTACATGCAGATCATTTGTGAATGTGTGTAAGCATATGTGCGTGCATGCGTGTCTGCGTGGCATGTGTGTGAAGGGATTATATGAAAAACACCTTCAAGTGCTACCATCAGGCAGTTAAATAAGCTATTGATTTAGGACTATGAAGATCTCATTTTTTTCGACTTTTTCTTTTTTTACTTTGGTTCACCAAGTGCGTTTATTGGCTTTTTCATTTAACCTGCCCATTGGTATACGCAGTACCATCTAATGAGTAGGTTTTATGCTTGGTTAATCTGGATATTGCTTCTCATACCAATCATTGGTTATTTCTTTGCCTGTCATCAACTGACCTGTTGAACTATTGGCTTTGACCAGAAATTCATTGAGGTTCATGGGACTACTCCAATTTCTCTACACAAAGTTGTCAACTGTTTTGTACAAAGAGGCCCTGTTTTACTCTTGCATACCTTTTATTGCGTTCTTTGGAGCTTTTGCCTTTGTGCTTTATCTCTAAGTTCAGTCTTTGAGAGGTGATCATTGTTGTGGTAAAATGGATTTAGGACCACAACATAGTAATAAAAAGACTCAAGACAATTAGGAGACCAGGAGTTCTTTGAGGTCTGCATGGTCTATATGCACAGCTGAGCATTGAGCAGTGGTCTAGGTAGGGGGCTAGAGTTGCTGCCTGCACCAACCCCGATCTTGGTGGTATTCACCGTTAATGCCTCCATGCTTAAGCTCATGTGTCCATTTGAGGGCTTTTGACTACGGAGAGTCATTGCTTGTCTTGAGATAACTTATAGCCTTGTAGACTGCTATTGTCTCGAAGAGCAACATTGGCATTCTTACAACTATGTATTTGAGAAAATGTTGGACTTCAAGTGGCAGCTGGCTTTTGCTTTGGGAATGGATGTGGCTGCTTGGTTGTACTTGTTCTCTATCATCATAAATAATGTTTTTTCACCATAGAACTGTTGTTATACATCAACTATAACTTTTAATTCTTTGTGGAAACATATATTTAACTGGTTTTTTAGGTTTTTATTTCTTTTTGTCTAACCTAATTTTAATATGTTTAACCTAATTTTATTTCTTTTTGTCTAACCTAATTTTATTTCTTTTTGTCTAACCTAATTTTATTTCTTTTTGTCTGACCTAATTTTATTTCTTTTTGTCTAACCTAATTTTAATTTCTTTTGGTCTAACCTAATTTTAATATATTTAACTGGTTTTTTAGGTTTTTATTTCTTTTTTTTTAGTATGTTAACCTTTATTATTTCAGAAGTGTTAAATGTGCAGTTTTTTATGTACCAATTAGAAATAATACACGAAGTGCTAAATGTGCAGTTTTTTATGTACCAATTAGAAATAAAATACAAAGTGCTAAATGTGCAGTTTTTTATGTACCAACTAGTTGTTTCAACGTATTTTTCAGCACCTTGGTCTCTGATAGGAAGCAGATCAATAGAGCCTACAAAATTCCCGACAGTCTCAGAATATCCCCAAAATTAGTCAAGATCTTCATCAACACTTCAAAAAAGACCACCTGCCAAGTTTCATGGCGATCAAACATGTATGAGGCAGTGAACACAAAGAAACATTTTCAGTGAAATCGGTCTCTAGCACCCTGAAATGGACCCTGTACCTAACATACTTTTGGTACGATAAACAGTTGTGAGACTACCGCCATTAGATCAGTCACGGTCAAAAACCCATGTGGGTCAATTTTCGACTTAATCGGGTATTCCAAGACAAAGTTATGGGTGAAATACCGAAAGGGGTAGGCTGCACACTATTCCCATGTGGCCTCACTCCATCAAAATACCATTAAAGGCGGTTGTTTTTACAGTCACAGGAAGTCACTCTCGGGGCATGTAACTCACTCGTCTTGATGAGCACGTTCGTCTCATCAAGATGAGCAATTCGATATGTGGTATGCTCCGAGACGACACTCAAGCGGAGAGAAAAACTAAATGAAAGTCGCTGATCCATGAAGAAAGTTACAGAAAATTCAGCAGCAGCACGTCTCGTTCGAACAGCCAGATCACGACATTCACATACCCGATCAGCACGAACCACATGCATTATGTGCGTGAGATCCGTGGATATCTCTGGTCCGAACCTCACATACGATGAACGGATGGATTTCACACACGAAGGCGTCAAAGCTGCTATAAATTCCAACCACTAGATTTCAAGATTCTGGTAAAAAACTCAAGATGACAAAATCTTCACCTGGACACGAAATCAAGCTATGTTTGTTGCAACGTGATCGTGATGGCATGCTCAGTGTGATTCAATGAATAAATCACGAAAAAACATCAAAAAAGAAGCACACAATTGATCCAAAGTTTTCAAGATTCATCCAAAGTTCAAGTCCCATGATCATGGCTCAAAAACATGATTCATGGCTCGAAGTTGATATCAAAATGATCGTCATGCCGAGCCCTACAAGAAAACAATAATCTTTCAATCAAACGGGCATCAGAATGATCCTGGGTCAACCATGGAAGATCACGCAAGTTCTCGGGCAGCAACATGGACTGTTCTAGAATTCACACATTGTTAGGTAGGGGCAAAACAATCATTTTGCACCCATTTTTAGAATTTCCTTCAATTCAATTAAATTGTTATTATCTTCAATTCTAGCTAATTTTTAAGCATACACCCATGTTTTAGCCCAATTCTATATAAGCATGCAAAACTAAACTGTAAAGACTTTCGGTTCTTTTTTCATTGATTCGATAAAATTTCCACTCTTACTGAAGTTATTGGGTACGTCTCAGAGAGAGAGAGAGGAAAGAGAAGAAAAGGGCCGGTACCCTTTAGGCCGGTAACTTTCTCTCTTCTCCTCTCTTTCTTATCTCTATCTGTTTCTCTCTCCTCCCCTCTTTTTCATCGCTATCTCTTTCTCTCTCCTCCCCCATTTCTCATTTCTATCTAGCTCTCTTCTTCTCATCTCTATCTCCTTCTCTTATGAAGCCTAGTGCCAGTTGGACTTCTCTTTCTTCTTCTCTTTTGAAGCCAGTCGGCGAAGCCTAGTGCCGATTGGATTTTTCTCTCTCCTTCTCTTCTGTTGCAGCCAGTGAAGCCTAGCGCCGGTTGGATTTTTCTCTCTCCTTTTCTTCTAAAGGCAGTCGGTGAAGCTTAGCGCCCGTTGGATTTCTCTCTCTCTTTCCCTTCTGAAGCTAGTCAGCGAAGACTAGTGCCGGTTGAATTTCTCTCTCTCCTTCTCTTCTGTTACAGTCGGCGAAGCTTAATGCAGGTTGGATTTTTCTCTCTCCTTTTTTTCTGAATCCATTCAACAAAGCCTAGCGCCAGTTGGATTTCTCTCTCTCCTTCCCTTCTGAAGCCAGTCGGCAAAGCCTAGCACCTGTTGGATTTCTCTCTCTCCTCCTCTTTTGAAGCCAGTCAGTGAAGCCTAGCGTAAGATGGATTCTCTCTCTTTTTTTGTCACAGTCGGCGAAGCCCAATGTCGACTTGATCTCTCTCTCCTGCTTCTCTTCCATCACAACCGGTGCAAGCCTAGTGCCAGTTGGATCTCTCCGCTTCTCTTCTTTTGATATAGTTGGCGAAGCCTATCATCGACAATGTTTTCTCTCTCTCCTTTTCTGACGCAATCAGCGAAGCCCAAGACTGACTACATTTTATCTCTCTTCTTCTGACACAATCGGTGAAGCCTAATGCCAACTGCATTTTCTCTCTCTTCTCCTAACAGTCGACGAAGCTTAGCGTCGACTCCATTTTCTCTCTCTTCTTTTGACACAGTCAATGAAGCTGGCACTAACTGCATTTTCTCTCTCTTCTCTTGACAGTCAGTGAAGCTTAGCATCGAATGTATTTTCACTCTCTTCTTTTAACATAGTCAGCGAAGCCTAGCGCCGACTACATTTTCCCTCTCTTCTCCTAACAGTCAGCGAAGCCTAACACCGACTGCGTTTTTTCTCTGTTCTTGAGGCACAGTCGGCAAAGCCTAGTGCCGACTGCATCTTCTCTCTCCTCTTCTATGTATAACACAGTCGGTGATGCCTAGCGCCGACTGTGTTTTCTCTCTCTTCCTTCTAACACAGCCGGCAATGCCTAACGTCGACTGCGTCTTCCTTCCCTCTCTCTCTTTTATTCTCTCGCCTTTCATACTCTTCCCTTTCTTTCTTCTCCCTCCCTCCTTCTGTTCCCTTCTTCTCTTTCTTCATTTCTTATTCTTTCCTCATAACCATCATTATGTTACTCTTTCATTAGACTAAGATGGATTGAGGTTAGCCTCTTATGGTAGTCATGTTGTCTAGCCGTAATGTTATTGTGCCAGGATTACTTGGCCCACTTTATTGCCATGATAGACTAACCATCATGCCTAGCTAGTTGGCACTGGTAATGACGTCTAATAGTAATCCTGTGAGCCGGTCTTAGTTACCGAGCCCGTTTTACTACTACGTCAGGCAAATTATTCATCAGCTTAGTCATTGCTCTGATCTTCCCACTCAGTCGAATTCTTCTCTCCCCTGTCGTTCTTCTCTTATTTTTATTTTTGAATGCACATGCTTGTGTGCGTTCATCAAAGAGGAAAAGGGTGAGATCTAACCCACCTGTCTTATAACATTTTCCATATGTATGTGATTGCAGAAAACAAGAATAATACAAGCGAAGGGAGGCGATTTACCAGTTTTATTACCGAGGGGACTTTCTTCGTGATCTAAGATAACGCCCACGCGAGCCAACCCGAGTAAGTCCTGAACCCACCTTAAAATTCATCTCTCATGATTCTCGCGAGAGCAATCTCAGAAATGTTCTGTGTCTTTCCCCGAAACCCGAGACGTGTGCTGCCCGATCATCTAGATCCAAAGGGCGACATCGAGGTACCTAACTAGCTTGTCGACTCCATTGGCAACTTACTACCTCTTAGTCGGATCGTTCTTGTTTGGCTAGTTTCTTCTTTTATTATTTGCTTTTATTCCTTGCTTTCATTATCTTTTCACATTTTATTTATGGCTTGTGTGTTCTGTAACCCATTTATCCAGATTGGGGATTTTCTTTTCCCCGCATTTGAGAGTGTCTCTAGGGAATAAGTTCCTTCGACTTCGTTCACAAACATCCTCTTGAGCAAAGACCCCTTGTCTAACTCCCAGGTCTTAACCTGGATCAGTGTGAGGAGGGACTTAAAGGTCCCTCACTCCCCATTTCCGCACGCTGGAGGAAACTCCACCAAAGCACCCTGCATCGGTGGCACTTTTGTTGCCCCACATAGTATGTACCCAGCCACCGGCAAGTCACTTGCTGGTCGTGTTCCTACCGTATGCCGGAAGGCTGTCCAGTCCCTTTCTACAAAAGGCAAACAAGTGCCATTGCTTCTGTGGGTCGCCATAAGGCTACCCCCCACATTTCTTCAACATTGGTCTCTATCCCTAGAGCCTCAACACATCGAGGCAGAAACCCCACGATCTCCACACCTCAAACACACCACAAGGCTCGTGGGTTACCCACTCGAGTCACACCTCGGGGCAACCCTTTTGTTACCTCGAGTTCGTGTCCAATATCGAACCTTCCAAGGCCAGGTCCTACGCACGCTATTCAAATGCTTCCCACCGCTCGGGACAACGCCATTATTACGCTAACTCGAGTACACAAGAGACGACCCCCTCATCCTCCTACTCTGCACACACAAGCGCACTTTGTAAGGGGCAGGCCTGCACCTGTTCTCTTACAAACACCTGCTCGTAGTTCTTGGCCTCTTAAGGCCAGATCACTTGCACGAGCCCAGGCAGACCCCCAAGTCTCCTGCAATCCTTCTTCAAGGAGTGCATATGCATCGCCATCACAGACGTCCCCTCGCCCTAGACTCGGGCCTTCGCATAGCTCAATCCTGCTTCGGCCCACTCGTCCTTCATCTAGCAAGCACCTTCAACCTTGGCACTCGAAGGTTTTCCCTAAGAGTACCATCCTGAACCAGCCCTGTCACTTTGGCCATGTCTCT